ACGATAAATTGTAAGATCTGTCAGGAGATACTTCAGAGCGAATGGCGATACCAACATCGGTGCTAGCATCGGTGACTCCTTTTCAGAAGATTCTTCTACGGAAGACTCTTCAGATAAATCTCAGCATATCACATTAACGGAATCCACTGAGATTCCGTTTTGCACACCAGCAGAGCTCAAAGGCCACATTAAGGACCTAAAGGTGCGTAAAGTACCTGGAGAGGATCAAATCACCAACAAAGCACTGAAGTTGATTTCACTCAAGGCTTTGACTTATCTCGTGGCAATAATCAATGCAATGCTCAGAACTCATTACTTTCCTAAGGCGTGGAAGGTCACTGAAGTCATCTTGATCCCAAAGAAGGCTGGTTGGATATTCCCCCAGGATTACCGTCCCATTAGTCTGCTGTCAGCTCCTTCTAGGCTCGCTGAAAAGGTGATTTATCGTCACCTTGAGAATTTCTCGTCAGATCACTATCCTGACGTGCAATTCGGCTTTCGGTCTGAGCATAATACGGAGCTACAGGCAGTTAGACTGGTGGAGCATTTAACCAGGGGGTTCACCCTGAACAAAAGTACTGGTATCTTGCTTTTATATGTATCAAAAGCATTTGACAAAGTGAGGCACATGGGTCTCTTGTATAAGCTCATCCAAAAGGGTTTTCCATTCTGGCTACTAAAACTGTTGAAATCTTTTCTAGAAGGAAGGAAGTTTCGGATCAAAATTAACAATGTGTTGTTAATAACACGGCCCTGTAAGAGCCGGTGCTCTTCAGGGTTCGGTCTTAGGACCAATCCTTGATTCACTTTACACACAGTACGTCCCTTGCCCCATCAACTGTGAAGTCTATCTCTATGTTGACGACACTGCTCTGCTAGCCCAGTCTTGTTCTGGTAACCTGGTCCACGACTGGCTGCGGTGGAGGAAGTATTGGAGTGGGCGGATCGGTGGTTGCTCAAAATTAATGCTTCGAACATGCAGGCAATCTGTTATACTAAAAAACGTCGCGGTATCCCATCAGAGATATCAGTGAATGGAACTCGTATACCATGGGAGCGATCAGTCAGGTACCTTGGTGTCATCATTGGCAAAGGGTTAACCTGGCAGAAACATACCGATATTTTGAAAACAAAATTCCAAATTACCTATCGGCAGCTTTATCCTTTGTTGTGTAGAAATTCAAAAATAAGTTTGATCAACAAGATTCGGTTGTATAAAATGGTCATAAGACCCGCAATCACCTAGGAATGCGCGGCTTGGTGTTTTCTTGGCAAGACGCACATGCAGAGACTGCAAGTCCTGCAAAACAGAACCCTACGCACAATCACTAACGCCCCTTGATACGTGTTAAACGAGACCATTCACAGAGATCTTGATATCCCATATCTAAGGGATTATGTAAAACAACAGGCACAGCGGCGTTATAATCAAGCCGAATCGCACAGCAACACTCTGTTGCGTGATCCAGCAGATTACATAGTCGAGCAAGTTCGCAAACTTTCCAGGCCGCGCCTCGCACTGTGATCAAAATTTATATTGGGAATTTCAGAACAATCAAAATTATTTCAGTATACAAAACCGTTCAAAATTATTTTTTTGAGTTACAAAATTATTCTAGTAGTCAAAGCAATAATGCTTAAGCTATTTCAAATGATTTACTTCTTTTCTTTGCTCTATTTCTCCCTTCCTTTCTTTCCTTCTTTCCCTTTTCCCCCTTAAACATGTTTGGTATCTGGGTAGCCAGACCTGACAGACTAACAGACCGACGAGACTTTTAACTAAGAGCAAAGGTCAACCGGACCGCTCTGACGAACAATGGTGAATAGTAGTATCAAATGTGTCATTATCTTGTTTTTAACACCCATGAATCATATGTAAATGTTGGGTGGATATCCTTCATCAATTATACCTCGACCTGAGCTTCTCTATGGAAAAACGGATCCCAAATATCTTGGGATAACAAGACTGTCTCACATCATTGGCAGAGCAAAGAAAGATCACTAGTACTTCCCTCCTTTTACATCCATATTTGTCCAAGAAGATGTGATCAACTGTTACCGCAGGAGGAGAATGGATGATCGCACCCAAATGGCAAGAAGCATTTCAGTCACCACACGTATCATCTCAGTCACAGCGGCAGAATCAGTTTTTTCGACTAAGCGGCTATTTGTTTGTTTGTTTCAGATTTATTTAGGATTAGTGTTACAATGTCCACAATATCTATATTACATAGTATATCACAAAATGTATTATGTCTTCAAGACTACATATTTTTATAAAAAATTTCACTACTATGAATTCTGGTTCTCCGTGAGATGTTTTTTCAATTTCCCTTTGAACATTTTCAATTTGACACACGTCTTGATATCATTACTCAATTTATTAAATTCGTACAAGACTATATAAACATGGGTCGAAAAATGCGTGGCTTCCGAAATACAGGGTGTTTAAATTTACTTTCTAAAATAGTTTTTTTTTAAATATTTCGAACAATATTTGATGTATAACAGTGAAAGTTGGTATACAAGGGTTTTTTGGTACGACAAAACGAACCATGGGCATAGTTTTACTGTAGCCGCTAGAGGGAGCTCTCTACTGTACCTGTAGTGTATTAAAATGACCGAAAATTTTTTCTTAGTGCAATTTTATGCTTTTTGAATTCTTCGCACTTTTTAACATAAAAAAGCTCTCCTGTGAATTTTCGTTATAGTTAGCCGTTTTTGAGATATTTCGATGTTTAAGGTTCGATGCATTTTTAATTATTTATGATAAAATAACGATAATTTTTAGAAGTAGGCTGTGCCTGCAAATATTTTTGAAATTGAAAGCAGAATAAGGTTAAACGTCAATTAGTTGACAGTTAGTTTTGTTGTCTGTTGAAACCTGAAACGTTTTTTTGCAATTATGAATGCACGAAATTTAGTTTCTTTTACCTGTTTTTTTTTTTGTAAGTTTTATGAAAATGCCATTTTTATTCTCCAATCAAGAGTTAGCGGATATTCATTTTGTGTATGGCTTTGTAAATGGAAACGCAGCAGAAGCAGCCAGAGAATACGCACGAAGATTTCCAAACAGACGACATCCAACTCGCTCAGTATTTGTAAGAGTGCATCGCCAAATAATTGAAAATGGCTTTGGAAAATCTCCAAAGGGATCAAAACATAAATGTTCGTCAGCGCAGATTTACCCGTATGATTCTGCGTGAGTTTGATAGAGATCCGACCACAAGTGTTAAGAGAGTTTCTGGTGCCTTGGGAATTTCATCAAGCCATGTTCACCCTGTTTTTAAAAATGACCATAGACGTCCTTACCATTTGCAACCTGTGCAAGGACTACAGCCAGGGGACGGAGAACGAAGAATCACATTTTGTCAGTAGATTCTTGATAGAACTGATAATAATAGGGAGTTTTTAAGTAACGTTTTATGGACCGATGAGTCATGCCTCACTAGACGTGGAGTGGTAAATTTTCATAATCAACATATTTGTTCGCATGAAAATCCGCTTGCAGTTCGGGAAAGAAATTTTCAGCATGAATTTAGTGAGAACGTGTGGATTGGTATCTACCGTAATCGACTATTTGGACCCTACCTTTTGCCTGCAAGGTTAAATGCTGCGACCTTCTTGGAATTTTTAAAGGCTGAACATGCAAATATGTGGGATGATGTTATGTTAGATTTAAGAAGATTGGCCTGGTTCCAGCTTGATGGTTGTCCAGCTCATTATTCGAGAATAGTTAGAAACTGGCTGGACGAAAATTATCCAGAAAGATGAATCGGCCGTGGAGGACCAGTCGCCTGGCCTCCACGATCCCCTGACCTAAATCCATTAGAATTCTTTGTGTGGGGATTTCTAAAAGAAAAAGTGTACCAGACTCCCGTAACCACAAGAGATATGCTAATAGACAGAATCAGGAATGCATGTGATGAAATAAGGCCTTATTTGAATAATGCTATACCACGTTCGATCATTCGTAAATGTGAATTGTATATTGAACAATTGGGTTTACATTTCGAGCAACTACTTTAGATTTTGTATGTTTGTCTTAACTATCCAATAGAATTTTAGTTGTAAATAATTAATTTAATTTGTTAAAAATAATATTGGAAAATTAAACAAATTAATATTCCGTTTTTTTGTGTTTATTTGGAGTTAGGAATTATTGCTGTGTTTAAAAACACAATCTAAACGATCATCTTAATTACTTGTAATGCCCAAATCGAAAATATTAAAAAAAATATTATTTTCCCATAAATAATTAAAAATGCATCGAATCTTAAAAATCGAAATATTTCAAAAACGGCTAACTATAACGAAAACTCACAGGAGAGCTTTGTTATGCAGAAAAGTGCGAAGAATCAGTTTTTTCATTCAAAAAGCAAAAAATTGCACTACGAAAAAATTTTAATAGACTACAGGTACAGTAGAGAGCGCTCTCTAGCGGCTACAGTAAAACTATGCCCATGGTTCGTTTTGTCATACCAAAAACTTAAACACCCTGTATTTCGGAAGCCACGCATAATTCCACCCATGTTTATATAGACTTTATGCATTAATTTTAAAAGTTCTATCGAATCTTAAAGTTATGCAACAATAATCTGAAACACCCTGTATATATAAATATATAAAATAAATAGTAGTGCACCTAATTTGCTACTCTGTGGCACACCTACCGAAATGTTTTTAATGTTTGATAATGTATTGCCAATTTTAGTTCTTTGACTTCTGTTGATTAAATAATTTTGTAATATAACGTTACTGTAAACCTTTTTCATCCATATTTCGACTACATTCTTCTACTACCATTTGAATTGCTGTTTCAGTTGAATACTTTTTTCTGAATCCTGCTTGAAATTTTGTCAATATCTTATATTCTTCAATATATTCGATGACTTGTTCATATATGATTCCTTCTAAGAGCTTCTCGACATCTGCATTCTTTGGTTTAATCAGCGTGCGTTCGACACCAATCAAGTGTTTTCGTCTTCGTCTTACTGTCGATGATTGCTGAGGGTTTATTCTCGGGTAGGAGGAAAAAAATCCTCGGTAACATCTTTGAGCACATTTTATTGTTTGCTTTTGTTTCAGGGGCCATATTTACAGACGATCAAAAGAACAGCAGTGTGGAACTCGCTTTCAAATACGCTGTTTACAGAATAAACAAAGAAAGAACTTTGCTGCCCAATACAACTCTTGTATACGACATCCAGTATGTACCAAAAGATGATAGCTTCAGGACCTACAAGAAAGGTATAACGAAAATAAACACAATTACTACACTATACAGTATGTTACTCTAGCTTTGAACAGGAGATTAATGGGGGCATTCGGCGTTCGTGGTGGGATAAGTGTAAAAAATAGTTACATGGCAAACCTTATACAGGGTGTTAATTAAGTATCTACCATAAATTTAACAGTCGATTCTGCGAGTAATTTTAAGACAAAAGGCTTATATAAACATACAGGGATTGTCCGGAAAGTAATAGGACTCATCTTCTTCCGCCATGACTGTACTTCGGAGAGTACCGACTTCATTCGGTAGAGGGCATTCCTAGCTAACGAATGAGCGGCTGGTCCAGTGTTGCCAGGTCTGGTGAAATTTCACCAGATTTGGTGATTTTATGAATAATCTGGTGATTGGTGAAAAACTTATTGAAAAATGGCAATTTCTGGTGATTTTTTAAATTTCATCGATTTTGAATATCTTTTACAATCTTTTAGCTACCAAAAAAAAAAACTCCAAACATTACTAAAATGTAATATTTAATAAGATCGTTTATATTTAGGATTATTGCAAAACATTTACATGGGTTATTTTTAGTTTCTAGTTATGCTCGTATATTATATGCCTATTAATTTGCTTACACTACCTTACAGAAATATTATGTATTATAATCTTCACATTAGAAAAAAAATATTGTTTTGGTAAAAAATATAGGATTTTTTTGATAATAATTCTGACCTGGATATTAAAAAGTAGTTCAAAATCATACAAAAACAACAGGAAAATGTTCTCATGTATCTTATGTAGGCGCTAGTAAAATAATATTTTACTGCCTTCGCCACAGTAGCAGGAAATCTATACTGAATTGCGTTTTATCAAAAGAGGGCAGCTGATCGATCGATTTAGTGATGTCAAGAGCAACGACATGAGCCTCACCATAAGATGAGTTTACTCCACAATTGCGTGACGTAAGGTAGGAGGTTCCTGTAGATCGCTGGTGCCGGAAACCATACTTGCTGTTACTAATCAAGCTGTGACGTTCGAGGTAGTCCAAAAGCTCACGATTTATGTACCTCTCCATCACTGCTATAGGCCTGTAATTGTAAGGGTCGGTCTTAGATCCTTTTTTTGGGATAGGTTGGACATGAGGAAATTTCCAGTTTTCTGGGAAGGTGCCGAATTCATAAGATATCTGGAAGAGACGCGAAAGAACTGGAGCAAGCTCCGCTGCACACCTTTTGAGTACAATGGCAGGAATCAAGTCCGGACCAGAAGCTTTGTTGCTGTCGAGTGACAAGAGCACTCGTCTTGTGGTCATATGCCTGAATATTACCTCCCGCATAGTGTAGGGAACCCTTTGAATTGACGGCACTTGGGCGTTGGAGGGGACGTCCATGGTGGAGTTGGCAGCAAAGGTCTTGGCTAGCGCTTCTGCCTTGGCCTTTGAGTCGAATACAGTAGTTCCATCCTGACACGTAATTGGTGGAAGACTACTGTATGAGAAGTTCTTTTCAATCTGCTTGGCCAGCGTCCAGAACGACCGACTGCCATTGCGCTGCGACATTACCCTGTGCCTAACTTTCATATCGTGCTGGTTTTTGGCATTGCGAACCGCTTCGTTATATTTGTTTCTGGACTCGACGTCGGCTTGTCTGTTCTCTACAGTATGAGGGGGTTCTGTGTACCTTGATCTTCTGCTGACGAGCAGTGTCACACAATTTTTTAAACCAGCCGTTGGACCGTGGTTTAAGCACTTTCACTGTGTGAGGAATGTATTCCTCCATTCCGACGTGGATAATTTCGGTTATCGAAGAACAAACAGCCGATGCATCCGCGGTAGTGAAACAGACATCTCTCCAAAGGTAGAGAATAAGTCTCTGAGCCCCTCCCAGTCGGCATGTCCGTAATGCCAAGTTTTGCGGCCTATGCGAGTTTCTGCTGCCACAGCGGGTTCTGACCGAAACCTAACCTCCGCAACACCGTGGTCTGAGTTACCCAGGGGAGACAGGACAGCAGTGCTGTAAGGGACAGGAAGCGTTTTCAGAAAGAGATCCAGCAGAAAGTAGGGCTGGTCACCAGCTGGGTCAGCCCTTGAGTAAGAGCGAACGCTTCGACTGCACGACCTGCTGCATCCTTCTTGTTTGAGCCCAACCAAAGCTCATTATGGGCATGGAAATCACCGAGAAGAACTACCTCTGAAGCGCGCTGATTGATGTTCAGGAAGTCGATCTTGACGGCGAGGTATTCAAGCAGGTCATCCCAGTTATGATCCGAGGGAGAGCGATAAAGGCAGCAAATTTGGGTGATGTTTTGGAGTTGATGCGAAACCACAGAATGTCCTTCCGGTCTGATTCCAAAGAAACATATCTGCAGCAGAAATACTGCTGCGAATAAAAGCCCTAACTCCACCGTTATTTCTCAGATTGGAGTGCACCTCGTAATTTAGGAAGCTAAGATGGTTAATGGGCGCAGACTCTGAGATTTTTGTCTCCGCCAAGAAAAGCATGGCGGGACGATTGGATTGCAGGTAGTGATGAACAACATCAATGTTGCTGTTAATCCCGCAGATATTCGTGAAACAAATTTTATCTTCGATGTTGTATGATGGTTTTATGAATATTACGTCAAGTAGATTGACTCAGTACTTTTACGCATTTATATACAACATACACGTACTGACAAACCGATATAAATGAGAAACACGAGCCTGTGTGATTCAGATATATTTAAGCAACAGAAGACTTGTGAACTGAAGTTTGAATATTATTGCGATTTCAATATTTTGTTTGGGTAGTGGTAGAACTTGAAAATTGATTCAGTGACAGCGGAACTATGGACAAAAAAGTACAAATTGCTGTTGTAACGCTTCAGAGAGGCATTGAATATTGTAGGTGGCATATTTGGTGTCAGTGAAAGACCTTCTATTATTAGATATCTGCTAGATATAATAAGTAACACAAATTTCCTTACTTCTGCTATCGAAACTGAAATATGATATACAGCAGACGCTCGATAATGTAAACTAATTTAATCCCAATGTGGTTCACATTATCGAAATGTTTACATTAGCGAACGTGATTTATATAATATTTGATTTATTAAAAGAAACGTTATTTATAACAAAATAAACAAATATTCTAACAGCGATAAGTATTTTTTTAATTAGAAGAAAAATAATTAACAATTTTTGTCTGCGTAAATTTGCGCTTAGCATTGTCTTCCAATGCCTGCGCCCGTAATTGACGAAGAACTAAAATATCCGTGTATGAAACTTCTTTTCTTTCAGCCTAATCTAAAGCTTGGTTAAAAACTTGTATAGCTTGCGCGTCAGTCACTACACTTCTGACTTCAATGGGATCGTTCTCATCATCCTCACTGTCCATATCCTCCTCCTTATCAGCATCATTCGTCTGCTTATCTTCGTTCCATAAATTAACATCAGCAGGAGTAAAAACAATGTTGGGATTCACTGTTTTCAATAAATCAACAACATCCAATCACACACTAATAACATTATCATTATTGGATCGCAAACGTTCTCTAATTACGCTTAAGGGGACATCGTCTTCTTCATCATCTTCATTATTGGTACAAAAGAGATTGTTCCAACATTTTTGAATAGTTTGCTGTAAATCTAAAACAGCTTCTCGTAATGTTACTTTTTTTAAAGCCTCAGATAAGTTTTCAGGATTCTTTGATAAGACAGACGAAAGTAGAAACTTCCTATAGTATAGTTTGGTGAGTCTTATTATATTCTGGTCCATCGGTTGAATTAACGGTGTTACGTTGGGCGGCATGTACATGACGAAAATTGACCCATCCCTGCTCCTCAGTTGTTGCTCGGGAGGATGACTTGGTGCATTATCCAATAGAAACAACGCTTTTATTGGAAGCTTCTGTTGTTTTAGGAAACCTTTTACCTACAAATTGAAAACACATCTTCAAATTATGAATAGAGCATTTGTGATAATTGATTGTCATACCTGAGGGACAAAGCACCTGTGGAACCATTTCAGGAATATACTGCTAGTCATCCAAGCGGTTTTTGAACAGTCATAATCAACAGGGATATTAACATTTTTGAATGAGCGCGGATTTTTTGCTTTCCCAATTACCAGTGGCTTTATTTTGTGTGAACCATTAGCATTAGTGCAGGCTAGAAACATTATTCGTTGTTTCTCCGGCTTCCTTCCCGGGGCAGATTTTTCAAATGATGCAGCATAGGTTTTCTCTGGTAACATTTTCCAATAAAGGCCACTTTCATCTGCGTTGTAAATTTGTTCCATTCTCAAATCTAGCTCGGTAATTGTTTTCATCAATTTTTCTTTGAATGGTTGCACTAATTGTGGTTGTGCTGATAATGTTTCACCAGATATAGACAGCAGTCGAATTCCATATCTTGTTTTGAATCGTTGTAGCCAGCCATCACTAGGTACGAACTTTTCAGTTTCTTTCAGTTTTTCATTTAACAGTCTCGCTCTCTGTTTAAGTACTTCGCCACTAACTGGGACATGATTTTCCCGTTGTTTTAAAAACCACTTATACAGGGAATTTTCCATTTTAGGTGCCTTCGCATTTTTTAAAGTTTTGCTTTTTCCCGGACTCCAAATATATTGCACGTTCTTTGTAAAATTTGAGTTTTCATACGCTTAATTTTACCCATTGTTGCTTTCGATATTCCATATTTTTTTGCTAACTGTGTCACTCCCGCACCTAGTGCAACTTCGTCTATGATTTTCACTTTCTCACTCAACTTTAAACACTTTCTTTTATAGGATGTGGATGCCATAGTCGTAAAATATATTAACGCGTGCAATGTATTCACTAAGTTCAAAAATGAAATACATACGTACGTATAAACGTATCCTAAACGATCATACGACTGACCGAGTTTGTCGTATTTTATCGCAGAGGTGAATCCCCTACACTCTACATCATAAATCGGGGACTCCCCGACGCCCGACATAAATCATCGAAGCTTCAGCATTTTACCGTCGCACTGTTTCGTGCGCCGAGAGTTATTTACGTTATCGAGCGTACACATTGTTTACGTTATCGCGCGTCCCGTTTAATCCTATAGAACGAAGTTTGTGTTTACATTAGCGCAAGTTTTCATTATCCCGTGTTTACGTTATCGAGCGTCTGCTGTATTTACTTTACTCTACTATTAAAAAATTTAATTATCAGTAACCGAATTTTCTCACTAATAACCTTTCCTCTACCATTTTGAAAACCTTAACTACCCAAAAGTATTTTAAACGTATTCTGACAGCTGTGATTAATAAAAACAATTGTCATGGCTTTTATTTTTCACAGCCACCTATGCATTGAAATGAAAAGTTGGTGTTTTCTACTATATATTATCAAAATATTCATTGTTAATATTTTAAACCTGTAACATCCTGCTACATTTATATTATTTGTGTTTGATAAGAAAAAAACTAAGATTTCAATAGTTGGGCCAACGGAAGTGGGAAGGGGCTCGTATAGAGTCAATCTACTGGACTCCATTTTTTATATCTTTTTTAGCTTGTCGGCAGGTGGAACACGGTGTCCAAGCAATATTCGGCCCATCCGATCCTATTCTAGGAGCCCACGTTCAAAGCATCTGCGAGGCTTTGGACGTGCCACATATAGAAGCAAGAGTAAACCTTGAACCGTCCAAAGAACTCTCCATCAACCTACATCCTGGCCAAGACGTCATGAATATTGCTTATAAGGATCTCATGTCTTTCTTGAATTGGACCAAAGTAGCTGTGATCTATGAGGATGACTATGGTGAGTTTTTGTTGCTACAATGAGTATTTGAAAATCGCCCAAACTTCCTTTGTCAATGTTTTACAGGATCCTGCTCACTTTCGAAACAATTTTATTGGAGTTAAAAACAGAGGGTTAGAGGTTGCAGTGGGTGGGGGCGGGAATATCTCAAGTATTTGCCGCCTCTTGAGATATGAAAAATACTTGATCTGGTCCAAGTATGGATGCTATGTTCTCTAAATAATGTATTGATGTTTCAGCGAACTTGCTATCTAAGTGGCTCTTGTGGTGATCAGTTTGAGCCCGAATGAGCTTAACAGGGACTGTCGATACATGTCTTCGTCCCTCTGCAGAATAAGATTTTCTGAGAATCAAACGAAGATATGTCCCACTCCGACTAATGTCAAATCCTATTTTACGTAATTATTGTGTGAGTTCATGAAGAGTTTTTACGCTGCGAATTGATTCCGTTCGTCTTCTATCATCTGCTGCACTCCCAAATAAAGCTATATCCGCGATAGTTTTCAATAGTGAATGTTGATTGCTTTGAAGATTAGGACGACCCACTGAATCCCTCAAAGATAGTCTTTTTTATTTCTGGATTTTCATGACAAATATCTTCTAACTTTCTTTTCATACCATCCCTGTGTTTCTTCTGGGCAACTGCATTTTGAACCTTCCTGTTTAAAGACTGTTTTGCTGTTTTTATTTCCTCGCGCAACTTAATGATCTGTTTATCAACTTCAGCACGGCTTGGCATAGTATCTCTGGCAGAATACAAAGCATTCAGATTTTTTTCGAGTAGAGCAATCTTATTTTTCATAGTTTAATGAGAAGGTTTTGCTCTCTATTTATCTGTATTTTCATTAATTTCGCATTGCTGTTGTGATTCATTACCAGGTTTTATTTTATCTTCTTCCTCTTTTTTAATATTTGAGGCTGACTGTATAATTTGTGTTTTTTCTGCAGGTTTACAGGTTGTCTAAAAATAAAAACTTTCTATGGCTTCTGCTAAAGATTCTCTTATTAAGCTACATAAATACAAAGCACGGAAATATATATGGCAAATACAAAACCCTATGGCTTTAAATCTAATATGTTTAAACGAGCAATTCGTTCCGGTCACAAAATACAGGATGTTAGTTTTCTGTATATATGTATAAAACTAACATCCTGTACTTTGTGACCAATTGACGGAATCAATCATAAGAAATAAATCTATAATATAATGAATATTACCGCTATACTTTGAGATAGGCCATAACATTTTCTAATCAGTAAAGAGAAACTTTTTGACGATTTCTAATATTTCTAGTACTCATAGGTACCTAAAATGATTTCGTCACTCACCTTAGAAAAAAAATTTAGTAGATTGGATTTATTCTTAGTCGCCGCTTGCAATTCTTCTTAGATTCTCTTAGATACAATAATATCTAGTTCCTTGTCGGATTTTGCTTGTAATTTGTAATTTTGCCACACTTCGTTAACTAACTTTTGTACATTTTGTACTTTCGTACTTGTATGAGATTTTTTAAAACCTTCAAACAATTTTTGGTATAACTTGGATTTGTCTATGTGAAACGACATCTTATTTAAACATTAAACTTTGGCTAATGGAATCAATGGTAACACAAATATTAACTTGCTTTACTATGCTTACAATACGTCTACTCGCTATAGTATCCAAACGAAACAATACACTGATAGAGGAAATTTAGACAAGTGAACACCGCGCGGTATTCCCCTACTCGGTTCTAAAGCGAGTTCGGGAATCACCGCGCGCTGTTCACTAAACGTATGCATTATTTGCGGGAATCCCCGAAAATGCGTTTCATTTTCAAGCAAAGACAATGTGAGTGTTGCCATTCGTGTAAAAAAGTAAATAACTACCGATGACGTAATCATCATCTAGACTCCCCTACTGCCTTGTCATCCAAAGTAAGCAAAGCAAAGACCCCCCCGCCCCCCATAGTGCTCACGTAATACTTGAACGGCCCCGAATGGAAGATTGTGTATGACAAGAGGGAAGTGAAAATTAGAATGAAAGACCAAGTAATTAGAGAATGGCAGTAAAAGACAGATACTAGTGAGAAAGGAATGGGAATATATGGGGTATGAAAGGTCGGAGAAGGCAGGTTGTACCTAAGCTTTAGGGCTTGCCAGCTTGTGACCGGATATGGTTATTTTCCGGTCTACTTTTATAGATTTATTATATAGATTGAAGTCCGAAACAGATAAATGTACATGTGGCAGGTATATTGAAAGTGCGAAACGTATAAGAGAAGAATGTATGATTGCGGAAATGGAGAGTGCAAGCGGGAAAGTGATGAGCAATTGTGGAAGCTTGAGGTCACAACTCGGATCAAATGGTAAAAATCACAGTTACGCAGAGGATATTTCAAACGAGTGGGCAAGTACGTTAGAAATATGAACAGGTGACCCGGTACTCTGCTACGAGGGCATATCTTTTTCTTTGTGTGTTTCCCTTCTTCTTATTCAAGCTTGTTTTATATTATACGTTCGTGTTTGTATGTTAATTCCGCGAGATGGGAAACATTAAATTGTATCAGTCTAAGCATTGTTTTTTATCTACTTGTAGGTATTAAATTGTATAAAAGCGTAATCATTTTCAGAAATTGTTCTTGGACAAAGTCTGAACGATGGAACCAGGATATTATATTATTCTTATTTTTTTATACCGATTATTGATTTATACAGTAGTTATATGGGTAATCTTACTTTCCAGGGCTATTCAAGCTTCAGGATTTGATGAGAGCCCCTTCAGCTACTAAAATAGAAATTTACATCAGGCAAGCTAACCCATCGTCATATAGGCAAGTGTTGAAGGAAATAAGACAAAAGGAGATATACAAGTTAATTGTAGACACAAATCCAAAGCATATCTTACAATTTTTCAGGGCAGTAAGTATTGAAAAGCTTATACTGTTTAGATATCTTTTTGGGTTTCTTATGAAATAGAATACGATCTTTTGAAATGTAAATCCAAAATGGAGTTCAACCTCATCTTGTTCTTTGCAAGGTTTAACAAATAAGAAACCAGTCATTCGCAACTTATTCTATTGTCTATTTACAGATTCTTCAACTACAAATGAATGACTACAGATACCACTACATGTTCACAACTTTTGTAAGTATTTCTTATCCATATTGATAAAATATGACATTTTTATGGCGCTGTATTACAGGATCTTGAGACGTTCGATCTTGAAGACTTTAAATACAATTCAGTCAATATAACCGCCTTTAGAATTGTAGATATGGACCATCCTAAAGTGAGAGAAATTTTGAACATCATGGAGAAATTCCAGCCGATAGGACATATCCTATTTAACAAAAGTGGAGTAATACAGGTGAGGATAAACTCCGATGTATAAAAAACCTGTTGCCGTTAATGATTAATAGTCAGGTTTATTTATGCTAAAACCCGAAATGCGGTTAGAACTTGGTGTAGCCACTCTCAGTTGGTGGTGCTCGGCACAACAAAGATGCAGGACGGCAAATCGGCAGCCGCCTAAGCGTTCCAATAGCTATTGACCATTCGACCATAAAACTACAAACAAGTGCAGGAACTGAGGCTCGGGGTATCGCCGGCACGCCGACGTCGACAGTTGCTGTTCTTATTCGGTGCATATACATTCCTTTTCAGAAACAACTACCCTTGAAATAACAAAGGTAATGTGTAGTGAAACGAGGGCGACCATATAAAAAAAATAAAGGAAAAAGTACTCACTCTCCAGTTGACGAGAAGGGCTAAGTACGTCTCTGCCCGAAATCATACCGCTCCAACAGAAAATGAAATCAGCCGATGCGCTACCGAGCAGACGCAGAAACCACATTGATCTTGATCTTCTAACAAGGAAGGCAAAATGTTGCGTAAAAAGTCTAGGTATTGCATCTCGTCCAATCGATTTGGGAGAATAAATGGTCCAATGAGCATACCGTTCACCATGCCAGCCCAAACATTCACCGAAAATGTTTTTTGAAAATGTGCCCGACGGACAGCGTGCGGATTTTCTACTGACCAAACATGAGTGTTGCGAAAGTTATTCACCCCATTACGCGTGAACGTAGATTCGTCAGTCACCAATATGCACTTCAAAAAGTCCGGATTATTGTCATGTTGATGCAACAACCACTCACAAAACCGCGCTCTTGCTGGAAAATCGTCAAGTTGAAGGGCTTGTTCACGTTGGACGTGAAACGGATACAGCCCCTCTTCACGCAGCGTTTGCCACACTTTAGTTTTTGATACTTGCACTTCTCTAGCCACGTCTCTAGTGCTTGTTGAGGGATTATCGTCTACGCGATTACCTCTACACGCGTGACCGTAACCGTCGGTTGAAGGTTGCATACTGACCTGACACCAGTCGGTGATGTTGCGGCTACAGGACGGTATTCAGATATTTTTGATGTTGCGGAGCCCTTTATCTCAGTTCCCTTAAGACATTGGTGTATATCGTACTAAGAAAAATTGCTTATGTTTTCAAGATCTACACGTCGTGTAAAGGAAAACCCCAACTTTGCGGACACCCTGTATAGCGTGTGTTTATACGTTTAGCATGTCGTCAAGGGATACAGCAGATGAAACTGAGAATATTTCTCCCAATGCTTCCTTCAGCCATGCTTCCTCTTCAGTGATGTCTCTTCCCCGAAGGGACATTTGAATATTTAGGCAAAAGAAATATAAGAGCGAAATTTTAGAGCATCCTGAAATAAAAAGGCACGATATTGAAACACGTTTGGCGAACAAAACAGGCTTATGTCCTATGACAATTTTCAACATTGTTAAGTACATAAAAAAAATCAAAAAAACCACACAAGAGGCTGCATTGCACGAAGCTGTTAGATACAGTTGATAACTTTGATTGGAATGCCATCAGACTCACAGTCCATCAATTTTTTCAAATGCCAATATTTAATTGTTCACTGAGAAGCAGTTCTTTTCCTGAAAATTTGAAATGCTCTACAATAACACCAGTTCCCAAAATAAAAAATTCTAAAAGATGCAGCGATATGAGACCAGTAAATGTGTTACCAGACATTGAAAAATTGTTAGAGTCCATAGTGCATGACCAATTAATGTAGTTTCGAAAAAAATATTCCACAGAAACGGCTTTCCAGTTGGTAACTGAGAATTTGAGAAAAGCCATAGACTCAGAAGTTGTCATAGCAGTATTTTTGGATTTGAAGAGGGCATTTGAAACGATTGATAGAGATATTTTGTTGGGTAAATTGAAGGCATATGGTATATCAGGTAGTGTTTTAGATTGGTTTAGAAACTATTTGTCTAAAAGGATGCAAGTTACAAAAGTTAATGACACTATTTCATCAAAAATTGAAAATATAAATGTGGGACAAATACGTTTATTCGTTTCCTGAATCTTGAAAAGGAAAGTGCTAAGAAAGTATTTTAAAAAATTTAAACAGATAGTATATCACACAAATTATAGTGAGTCAGTGTTATTTTGTTTGAGAGTGCTGGGGAAAAGTAGGTACATTATTTTTTATTAAATTTTAGTTTTGTACTCGTAGTTAGTAAAAACAGATAAATTACGCCAATCATGACTTTAGTTATTAGTAGTTAAATATTCAATCATGCAAAATTACACGAGTACTCCTCAATAGTTTCTTTTTGGAAGTTTTAGCAATCAGTAATATAATTACAGTGCAATCTCCGTAATTCGAGCTGATTGATGCAAGAAGATGTTCGAATTATGGAATGTTTTCGGAAAAATCAAAAAAAAATTTTAATATACAGCTGCTGGATTTTCTGTCTTATTTAAATAATTTAATTTTGCCCACAGATGACTGATGCCATGTCCGAATCTAAAAAGAAATGTAGACAGTACAGTGTTGATTATTTGAAATTTGGCTTCATTCCATCATTGCCGGACAAACAATTGCCTATGTGCCTTTTATGCAACAAAGTTTTGGGCAATGACGCTATGAAACCATCTAAACTGCAAGATCATCTGAGCAGATGCCACCCTGATAAAACAGAGAAAGATTTGAAATACTTTCAAACACTCAAAGATAAATTTCAGAAGAGACCTACACTGGACAGAATGTTCGCTTCGACGTCACAAAGAAATGATGATGGTTTGCGGGCGTTACTTATAGCACAATCCGGAAAACCGCATACTATCGAAGAGAAGTTAATTTTGCCAGCCGTTGAAGAGGTTTTAAAAACTGTTTTACACAAACCTGCATCTGATATCATTAAAAGAATTCCCTTAAGCAACAATACTGTTGAAAGACGTATTGATGAAAGGAGTTCTGATATTGAAAGCTTCGTATGTAATTATTTGCAAACGACCCATTTCTCTATACAACTGGACGAGTCAACTTTACCTGATAATGCAGCATTATTATTGGCATATGTTCGTTTTATTATGAATCAAGAAATCTATGAAGAACTGCTCTTCGCAAGAACTTTGATAACCGACACTAAAGGTGAATCAATATTTCATTTTTTGAAGGATTACTTCATTGAAAAAGCAATTCCTTTATCAAATATAATATCAGTAGCTACAGATGGAGCACCTGCCATGGTTGGACGTTATCTTGGATTTATAAGCTATTTAAAACAAAATGTGTCAGGGGTGTTAGCAATAATTTGCGTCATCCATCGACAACATTTAGTTCCTAAAAATTTGAGTGTTATATTGCATGAATCACTTCATTTAGTCATTGATGCAGTAAACCGAATCCGAAGCAACGCATTGAATACGCGGTTATTTGCGCATTTGTGTGAAGAAAATGACGAACACTTTCATCAATTAGTCCTTCACACTGAAGTACGCTGGCTGTCGAAAGGCTTATGTTTCACAAGATTTTTTGCACTTTTTGAGACTATTTTAGAATTTCTGGATACTAAAGATACAATTTCAAAAGAAAATTTAATGAAGAGGAAAACAGACATCACCTATTTAACAGATTTGTTTACAAAATTTAATATGGTTAATTTCCAATTACAAAACGACAGTTTAAATTTGATTAAATCAAAGTCCATCTTATCAGCGTTTCTTGCCAGAGTTAAACTAATGAAGCAAAATATTGGACGGGGCGAATTTTCTCAGTTCCCCAATTTGTCACAGACAAGCTGCCAGGAAGACGACGTTTCAACTTACGTTCAACATTTAAATGCCCTCTATTCAGATTTGAATCTAGGTATGAGTATATTTTGACTATGGTAATACCACCGTGGATAATTAATCCATATGGTGACATAGAAGAAACGAATGTCATAATACAAGAGGAACTGACTGAACTAAGTACAAACGAAGAACTTAAGGTTCAGTTTAAAAACGGATATCAGCAATTCTGGCTGCAAAACAACATACCCGTTACTTATCCCGTATTATGGAATATAGCGAGGAAATTTTTAATTTCCTTTCCATCGTCATACCTAGTGGAAAGGGGGTTCAGCGCTGTTACCAATCTTCTAACGAAAAAAATAAACAGACTGAACATCATTAGCCGAGGAGATTTAAGATTAACCCTTACAAAATTGACGCGAAATGTTGATAATTTATTATTAAAGCATCAGGTTCATCCTTCTCACTAAAAATATTGACTTATTGCTTATGTTATTTATAGTTTATTTTATGTTTATTGGTGTCTGACCAATAAATGCCCGTAATGGGAATAAGTGCCCGCATTGATTTTTTTAAAGAACCCCCCTTTATAGAAAATATTTTTTTTAAATTATTCTGAAAATTCAAGGATAGGTACACACTAAAATTCATTAATTTTTTGCCTATTTTTAGATAACTTAAACGTATAAGAAGCGGAATTTAATCAAACTAACAGTGAAATTATTGTAGAACATACGTTTATGTTATAATTAATAAACGAACTCGCTTATTGTACTATTTTAAGTAAAAAACTTCTTTTTTATTATTTTTCACTTTTTTTTATTTTATCCCTCTTATTTTTTCTCAATGCGGGCACTTATTCCCAATGCGGGCACTTATTGGTCAGACACCTGTTGATTTAATGTTACGTATATTTTACATAACAGATACAAAATTTTATTTTGAGTAATTTTAATTTAAATTCAATTAATAAATGCATAAATTAACATGTGTTTTTACTTTAAGTTTTTAACACTAAACATCACTACAGTTAGAAATTTACAGGAAATCAATATCAGGTAAGTAGGGGGTCTACCCAACACGGAAAAACATGGCAAGGGGTCTACGACACAAAAAAGTTTGGGGAACTCTGGGTTAGACTAACCAACTGGGAGTGACTACATGCACCTAGTTCTAACCAGCTAAACCTAGTAACATTTATATTTTTAAAAACTATCTGATGATAAAGATGGTTGTACTATTACAAACAACAACAACAACAAATTGTAAAGTTCATAATAGAAGCAGAAGAGTTTGGCATATGCTGTCAGTATAACTGAACTTTTTCTTTGTTTTCAGGCTGAACCGGCCTTGATTTTCGACTCTGTATACGTATTTGCCAAAGGATTATCAGCAATGGACTCAGGCCACTCGATTAGTCTAACAAATCTTTCATGCGAAAGAGAGAAGCCTTGGGATGACGGCTTGTCGCTTTACAACTACATCGATTCCGTAGTAAGTTTAACTTTTCCTTTGATCTTATAGTTCGTGCTGATTTAGAACTAAACAAAGCTTCTGGAGTGATATATCGTATAAAGCGTGACGACGAGTATCGATTAAAATGTAATTTTTAAATCTACGGGGTGTTCCGATATTTCGTGGACATACAAGTACCATGTATTTTTAGACTCAAAATAAGTCGATTGGACATGATTTACCTCTATGCACAAGTGCTTTGTTTGCCCGTTAGATTGAATCAATGTTTTCTTTTTAAAATATTTTTTTAAGATTTTTTAATAACGGATAGTCCGCTTTGCATGAGATTTGGAACATCCAGGGTGTTTCAGTTTATTGTTGCATAGCTTTAAGATTCGATAGAACTTTTAAAATTAATGCATAAAGTCTATATAAACATGGGTCGAAAAATGCGTGGCTTCCGAAATACAGGGTGTTTAAATTTACTTTTTAAAATAGTTTTTTATAAATATTTCGAACAATATTTGATGTATAACAGTGAAAATTGGTATACAAGGGTTTTTTGGTACGAAGAAACGAACCATGGACATAGTTTTACTGTAGCCGCTAGAGGGCGCTCTCTACTGTACCTGTAGTGTATTAAAATGACCGTGCAATTTTTTGCTTTTTGAATAAAAAAACTGATTCGTCGCACTTTTCAACATAAAAAAGCTCTCCTGTGAGTTTTCGTTATAGTTAGACGTTTTTGAGATATCTCGATTTTTAAGGTTCGATGCATTTTTAATTATACAGGGTGGCCAAACACGTGACGTCATAAAAAAAATTAGATTCCCCACATCGAGAGGAACCCAAATCACCCCCATATATATGGTCCGATTTTGTTTAGTTTAGGAGTTATGATTTTTTTTCTGATTTTTCGAGAATTTTTGAGTTCTGTGTTTATTTTTACCATAACTTCGTTAATAATTGTGATAAATGCCTGCTTTTTTCACGATTATGTAGCTAAGACCTAAGGCTTAACTATCATATAATCATTCAAGTCATGTAACTAATACTACTTTTTAATTTTTTTCAAAATCTTCGAACATAACAAAAAAGTAAAAAAGTGCAACAACTTTGAACGTTTATAAAAAATTGAAAAAACATGTTCTTACTATTCGTAAGTATCTTAAAAACTTCCTTACGGTATCAGCTATTTACCGTAAAAATTTCATCAACCTAGCTTTACTACATGCTACCGTAATTGTGGCTCAAATAGAACCGAACCCAAAATTGGATAACCCTCTGCTCAATAGAAATTGTTAGTTTCGGAAAAAAAATTTGCAAAAACCACAAAAACACGTTTGATTTTTACTGAACAGCAGATTATTATTCATTTATGTTATTTACAAGAGGTTTTCAAAATGTCTGCCTCTAACAGAAATGCACAGTGTACACCTACGTATGAAATTTTGTTTTAAATCTCTAAATGCTTGTGTGTTGTTTTTCAACACATGTGTCGCTTCTTGAATTTTGTTCCTCAATGAATTTTCATTTGCACATTCTTGGGCGAATGTTATGTCTTTAAAATATCCCCAAACAAAAAAATCAATGGGGTTGAGGTCAGGGGAGCGTGGAGGCCATCGTATCGGTCCGTTTCGTCCGATCCATCTGTCTGGGAACCTTTCGTTTAAGTAGTTTCGCACGATCGTTGCGTTGTGGCATGGTGCACCATCATTCTGGAACACCATGTTCCGTCTGGCTTCCAGGCTTGAATCTTCCAGCAATAATGGTAGGCTATTTTCAAGGAAGCTTTTGTAGGCTACCGAATCCAACCTTGACGGCAGTTCAAATGGACCGATAAATTCCATATTGAATATTCCTGACCACATGTTCACACTAAAACGGTGTTGAAATGTCGACGGCCTTGAGTGGTGGGGGTTTTCAACAGCCCAAGTATGTAAATTATGGATATTGAATATCCCTGTTCTTTCAAAACGTGACTCGTCAGTCCATAAAATTTTATCAAAAAAATCGGTATTCTCTCGTTGTCTTCGCAGCATTGTCTCGCAGAAATTCACTCTTAACTGGTAATCTGAAGGCATCAACGCTTGAACTCTTTGAACATGATAGGCATGATAACCTTCTTCATGAAGAATATTTTGTATCGATGTTCGTGGTATTCTAAGGTTTTGTGCCATAGATCTCGTACTCGTTGAGGGATTCCGGCTAATTTCTTCAAGTACTACTTCTCTGCGATCCGGATCAGCTGTAGGATATCCTTCATTGCTTCCTCGTCCTGGAATGCGGCCTGCCATGAAAGTGTTATGTGTGTTAATAAAAACACGGTGGTCTGGGTAATGCTCAGGTTGTGGTCCGCCTCGGCGTATAAGTTGTTCCCGGTACAGCTGAGCTGCTAAAGCGCCGTTGCCTTGAGCAACGCCATAATAATAATGCATTTCTGCATATTCACGCAACGTATAATGCATCACAAACTTCTTAGCAAACAAAGTGCAAATCAGTATGCAAAGCAGAGTCCCGGAATATCCAATTTTTTAGAGCACGAGGTTTCGGCTGATATGGCCTCTTATTTCGTCTGCAGGTGACTTAGCCTTTCGGGGTTATTTATACCAGAACGGCTGACGTGTCCTGTACCGTAGATGACGTGGCTGGTCGGTGGTGATGACGTTTATCGGTCCATTTGAACTGCCGTCAAGGTTGGATTCGGTAGCCTACAAAAGCTTCCTTGAAAATAGCCTACCATTATTGCTGGAAGATTCAAGCCTGGAAGCCAGACGGAACATGGTGTTCCAGAATGATGGTGCACCATGCCACAACGCAACGATAGTGCGAAACTACTTAAACGAAAGGTTCCCAGACAGATGGATCGGACGAAACGGACCGATACGATGGCCTCCACGCTCCCCTGACCTCAACCCCATTGATTTTTTTGTTTGGGGATATTGTAAAGACATAACATTCGCCCAAGAATGTGCAAATGAAAATTCATTGAGGAACAAAATTCAAGAAGCGACACATGTGTTGAAAAACAACACACAAGCATTTAGAGATTTAAAACAAAATTTCATACGTAGGTGTACACTGTGCATTTCTGTTAGAGGCAGACATTTTGAAAACCTCTTGTAAATAACATAAATGAATAATAATCTGCTGTTCAGTAAAAATCAAACGTGTTTTTGTGGTTTTTGCAAATTTTTTTTCCGAAACTAACAATTTCTATTGAGCAGAGGGTTATCCAATTTTGGGTTCGGTTCTATTTGAGCCACAATTACGGTAGCATGTAGTAAAGCTAGGTTGATGAAATTTTTACGGTAAATAGCTGATACCGTAAGGAAGTTTTTAAGATACTTACGAATAGTAAGAACATGTTTTTTCAATTTTTTATAAACGTTCAAAGTTGTTGCACTTTTTTACTTTTTTGTTATGTTCGAAGATTTTGAAAAAAATTAAAAAGTAGTATTAGTTACATGACTTGAATGATTATATGATAGTTAAGCCTTAGGTCTTAGCTACATAATCGTGAAAAAAGTAGGCATTTATCACAATTATTAACGAAGTTATGGTAAAAATAAACACAGAACTCAAAAATTCTCGAAAAATCCGAAAAAAAATCATAACTCCTAAACTAAACAAAATCGGACCATATATATGGGGGTGATTTGGGTTCCTCTCGATGTGGGGAATCTAATTTTTTTTTTATGACGTCACGTGTTTGGCCATATGGGAAAAAAATATTTTTTTTTAATTTTCGATTTGGGCATTACAAGTAATTAAGATGATCGTTTAGATAGTGTTTTTAAATACAGCAATAATTCCTAACTCCAAATAAACACAAAAAAACAGAATATTAATTTGTTTAGTTTTCCAATATTATTTTTAACAAATTAAATTAATTATTTACAACTAAAATGCTATTGGATAGTTAGGACAAACATACAAAATCTAAAGTAGTTGCTCGAAATGTAAACCCAATTGTTCAATACACAATTCACATCTACGAATGATCGAACGTGGTATAGCATTATTCAAATAAGGCCTTATTTCATCACATGCATTCCTGAGTCTGTCTATTAGCATATCTCTTGCGGTTACGGGAGTCTGGTACACTTTTTCTTTTAGAAATCCCCACACAAAGAAATCTAATGGATTAAGGTCAGGGGATCGTGGAGGCCAGGCGACTGGTCCTCCACGGCCGATTCATCTTTCTGGATAATTTTCGTCCAGCCAGTTTCTAACTATTCTCGAATAATGAGCTGGACAACCATCAAGCTGGAACCAGGCCAATCTTCTTAAATCTAACATAACATCATCCCACATATTTGCATGTTCAGCCTTTAAAAATTCCAAGAAGGTCGCAGCATTTAACCTTGCAGGCACAAGGTAGGGTCCAAATAGTCGATTACGGTAGATACCAATCTACATGTTCACACTAAATTCATGCTGAAAATTTCTTTCCCGAACTGCATGCGGATTTTCATGCGACCAAATTTACCACTCCACGGCTAGTGAAGCATGACTCATCGGTCCATAAAACATTACTTAAAAACTCCCTAAAATTATCAGTTCTATCAAGAATCCACTGACAAAATGTGATTCTTCGTCCTCCGTCCCCTGGCTGTAGTCCTAGCACAGGTTGCAAATGGTAAGGAGGTCTATGGTCATTTCTAAGAACACGGTGAACATGGCTTGCTGAAATTCCCAAGGCACCAGAAACTCTCCTAACACTTGTGGCCGGATCTCTATAAAATTCACGCAGAATCATACGGGTAAATCTGCGCTGACGAACATTTATGTTTTGATCCCTTTGGAGATTTCCAAAACCATTTTCAATTATTTGGCGATGCACTCTTACAAATACTGAGCGAGTTGGATGTCATCTGTTTGGAAATCTTCGTGCGTATTCTCTGGCTGCTTCTGCTTCCATTTACAAAGCCATACACAAAATGAATATCCGCTAACTCTTGATTGGAGAATAAAAATGGCATTTTTATAAAACTTACAAAAAAAAACAGGTAAAAGAAACTAAATTTCGTGCATTCACAATTGGAAAAAAACGTTTCAGGTTTCAACAGACAACAAAACTAACTGTCAACTAATTGACGTTTAACCTTATTCTGCTTTCAGTTTCAAAAATATTTGCACAGCCTACTTCAAAAAATTATTTAGATACTGACTTTTTAACGTTATTTTATCATAAATAATTAAAAATGCATCGAACCTTAGAAATCGAAATATCTCAAAAACGGCTAACTATAACGAAAATTTACAAGAGAGCTATTTTATGTTGACAAGTGCGAAGAATCAGTTTTTTTTATTCAAAAAGCAAAAAATTGCACTAAGAAAAATTTTTCGGTCATTTTAATACACTACAGGTACAGTAGAGGGCGCCCTCTAGCGGCTACAGTAAAACTATGTCCATGGTTCGTTTTGTCGTACCAAAAAACCCTTGTATACCAATTTTTACTATTATACTCAAATATTGTTCGAAATATTTAAAAAAAACTATTTTAGAAAGTAAATTTAAACACCCTGTATTTCGGAAGATAAGCATTTTTCGACCCATGTTTATATAGACTTTATGCATTCATTTTAAAAATTGTATCGAATCTTAAAGTTATGCAACAATAAACTGAAACACCCTGGATATGTTTTGTTAGACCTATATTTGACCTATACGAAAAACTCTAAAGGGCTCGAGAAGAGTGAAAACTACGCCCACCCCTACATAAATTATAGCAGAATTTTTCGGCAAGTTCCCCGATGACTCTGATTTTGGTCAGTAGGCAATTATTCCTGTACAAGGTTGACCCTACTGAGCGGGGTCATGGCAAATGCTTGTTCCGGAAGTTGTTGTATCCAGTATACAACTTCTTCCCGTTCAAGTGATTGTACACGCGTTAAGGAATACCTTAGTACCGATTGCCGGGTGACGGTACAAGTACGGCAACGGGCCACTTTAGGTCTATTTAACATAGAGCTAAGACGCAAAAAGAACGTGGTAGAGAAGGACCAGTCGACCGAGGCGGTACCACCCGCTAGCTTTTCCGAGGATGTCTTATAAATAATAAAACTTCCTCATGTTTCCACACCTAAGCTAAGCGGCTATAGTATACAACAGACAGCTTAGACCTCAAAAAATGCCATCATTGAAGCAAATGTTACATCACATCAGTGCCAAACCATGATAACTCAATCGTCATCACGTTTGGGCAACACGTACAGCTACACGAGTGCGCATTAAGTGAACAACAACTAGTCCCAAGTTAGCATCTCATAGAAAAACCTACATAATGTCACAAGAAAACCTACATGATATCACAAAAACCGACATAATATCACTGTTCAAGATACGTAACACCCCTGCTGGTGTCTGATCACGTGACGTTTTCATGACTATGTTTGGGCTTAGTTTCTTTCTTCGGTAGTGTCGCGCCTCGGTCGCCGATCTCGGTCTCCCGTCGCTATATCTGTGCGGAACACGACCTTGACACTGAAAAAACTTGCTTCAGAGTGGAATCCATGGGCTAACTGGCAACGTAGAATTCAACGAAGGAAGAAGGTTCAATTTCAAAGTTGATCTTCTGAAGTTGAAAAAAGAAGAAATCAGGAAGGTTGGTGAATGGAGATTCAATGGAGGTATCAATATCACCGACACAAATGCCTTTTATGAAAGCCACGCTCCCAATATCACACTAATTGTTATGACGAGAGAGGTGAGGAAATTTATTTACTTTATTATACACATTTTAGCTCCCTTGTATTGTTTATGGGGTTTTTAATTAGCTACAGTAGTATACTCTCAACTTTTTATCCTACTATTGCTGCACACAAAACAGCAATACAGCTGATATAATTCACAAATAAATTACTATTTTCTGGCAATAAGTACTGGAAATAGGTATACTGAGAAAACGCATTGTTGCATTGATTCTGTAGATCGAAAACTAGACATTAATTAAATATAAAATATGAGTACGTACTTCGTCTTATAGAATACAAATTCACTCATCTTGCCAGCATAGTTTGGGTTCTATTTCTTACCTCCACCGTCTTTCTAGGTAATCGCAAAGATAAAAGGGATTTCTTAATTAATTTCGTGGACAAAGTTTATACGAATATATCAAAACACAGGGTACTCAACGTTTTCCTTACAAGCGATAAGACATCATCATTGTTGATTTCATTTGAGTCCAGAATTCCAGAAAAATTAATAAAAAATAAAAATTTAAGGGATTTCTGTATAATACAGGGTGTCCGCAAAGTTGGGGTTTTCCTTTACACGACGTGTAGATCTTGAAAACATAAGCATTTTTTCTTAGTACCATATACACCAATGTCTTAAGGGAACCGAGATAAAGGGCTCTGCAACATCAAAAATATCTGAATACCGTCCTGTAGCCGCGACCCGCCGGGATATCCCCGACTGATACAAGATCTCAACCCGACGGCAGAATTGGGTCGGGGTCAGTGTGTCAGGTTAGTATGCAACCTTCAACCGACGGTTACAGTCACGCGTGTAGAGGTAAACGAACTCGTATAATCGATTGCGTTTCAAAAAACAACAAGCACTAGAGACGTGGCTAGAGAAGTGCAAGTATTAAAAACTAAAGTGTGGCAAACGCTGCGTGAAGAGGGGCTGTATCCGTTTCACGTCCAACGTGTACAAGCCCTTCAACCTGACGATTTTCCAGCAAGAGTGCGGTTTTGTGAGTGGTTGTTGCATCAACATGACAATAATCCGGACTTTTTGAAGTGCATATTGATGACAGACGAATCTACGTTCACGCGTAATGGGGTGAATAACTTTCGCAACACTCATGTTTGGTCATTTTCAACAAACATTTTCGGTGAATGTTTGGGCTGCATGGTGAACGGTATGCTCATTGGACCATTTATTCTCCCAAATCGATTGGACGGGATGCAATACCTAGACTTTTCACGCAACATTTTGCCTTCCTTGTTAGAAAATGTGCCATTAAGTGTAAGACAATAAATGTGGTTTCTGCGTCTGCTCGGTAGCGCTTCAGCTGATTTCATTTTCTGTTGGAGCGGTATGATTTCGGGCAGAGACGTACTTAGCCCTTCTCGTCAACTGGAGAGTGAATACTTTTTCCTTTATTTTTTTTTACTTGGTCGCCCGCGTTTCACTACACATTACCTTTGTTATGTCAAGGGTAGTTGTTTCTGAAAAGGAAAACCCCAACTTTGCGGACACCCTGTATATATTTTTTTGCCTAAATTTTCGGTCAATTTTCCCGGGTATTTAGCTACTTTTTAATAAAAAAAATCACGTCAATACATTTAATATTTTGGGAAAATTAACCATTTCTGACGGAATATCGAAAAAGGTGCTCTAGCGGGCACATGTGAAACTAACAAAACTTCAAATATTATAACATTTGTAGCCCAAGAATTGCTCTTTTCAACTAGCCCAAGTTTGTTTAAATCGGCTCAGCCGTTTCGAATATACAGGGAGTTTTTTACGGAAACCTTTAAATACCCCCCCCCCCCCACTTTATTTTTAGAGATACAGCAAAAACTGTCAAACAAAAAAGTTTACATCCTCGAGATCAGGTTTTGTTTAGTTAATATAGCGGAATTCACAGAAGTTTCACTTTTTTAGTTTCAAGATTGCAGTTACGCCCCTAGTGGCCATTCCAGAAACCATTTTTCTTGCTTGGTCGTTTTAGTAATAACTGTGCCATATAACATCAAAAAAAAATATTTAATTTTCGGAAATGTTCGCGATTACAGTACTTCCCCGCCAGTAGGTGTGGGAAGTAAAAAGCAGTGGTGTACTATTTTTTTTAACCGTTTAGCTCAAACCTAAACGTAAACCTTAAGGTGCTTAGGACATACATTTGTTGTTGTTGTTGTTGAAGATTTATTTAGCATTAATGCTATAATGTCAATTTTGCATGATTCGGTTACATATTTTTCTTCAATCCATTTTCGGTAATTTTACATTCCTGTCTTTAAAAATTAAAAATTATGATTAAAATTAAAATTACGTCACTATGTATTTTGATTATTCATAAAGTGATTTTTTAATTTCACCTTAACCATTTTTAAATTCGAACTCTGTTTAATATCATTATTCAATTTATTAAATTCAAATACTCCCTTTTGAAATAGATTTACTAGTTATGCTACTATTACAATTTTGCAGATGAAAATCTACAGGGTGTTTCAGTTTATTGTTGCATAACTTTAAGATTCGACAGAACTTTTAAAATGAATGCATAAAGTCTATATAAACATGGGTCGAAAAATGCGTGGCTTCCGAAATACAGGGTGTTTAAATTTACTTTCTAAAATAGTTTTTCTTCGAACGTGGTATAGCATTATTCAAATAAGGCCTTATTTTATCACATGCATTCCTGATTCTGTCTATTAGCATATCTGTTGTGGTTGCAGGAGTCTGGTACACTTTTTCTTTTAGAAATCCCCACACAAAGAAATCTAAAGGATTTAGGTCAGGGGATCGTGGAGGCCAGGCGACTGGTCCTCCACGGCCGATCCATCTTTCTGGATAATTTTCGTCCAGCCAGTTTCTAACTATTCGCGAATAATGAGCTGGACAACCGTCAAGCTGGAACCAGGCCAATCTTCTTAAATCTAACATAACATCATCCCACATATTTGCATGTTCAGCCTTTAAAAATTCCAAGAATGTCGCAGTATTTAACCTTGCAGTCAAAAGGTAGGGTCCAAATAGTCGATTACGGTAGATACCAATCCACACGTTCACACTAAATTCATACTGAAAATTTCTTTCCCGAACTGCATGCGGATTTTCATGCGACCAAACATGTTGATTATGACAATTTACCACTCCACGTCTAGTGAAGCATGATTCATCGGTCCATAAAACGTTACTTAAAAACTCCCTATTATTATCAGTTCTATCAAGAATCCACTGACAAAATGTGATTCTTCGTTCTCCGTCCCCTGGCTGTAATGCTTGCACAGGTTGCAAATGGTAAGGACGTCTATGGTCATTTCTAAGAACACGGTGAACATGGCTTGCTGAAATTCCCCAAGGCACCAGAAACTCTCCTAACACTTGTGATCGGATCTCTATCAAATTCACGCAGAATCATATGGGTAAATCTGCGCTGACGAACATTTATGTTTTGATCTCTTTCGAGATTTCCAAAACCATTTTCAATTATTTGGCGATGCACTCTTACAAATACTGAGCGAGTTGGATGTCGTCTGTTTGGAAATCTTCGTGCGTATTCTCTGGCTGCTTCTGCTGCGTTTCCATTTACAAAGCCATACACAAAATAAATATCCGCTAACTCTTGATTGGAGAATAAAAATGGCATTTTTATAAAACTTACAAAAAAACAGGTAAAAGAAACTAAATTTTGTGCATTCACAATTGCAAAAAAACGTTTCAGGTTTCAACAGACAACAAAACTAACTGTCAACTAATTGACGTTTAAACTTATTCTGCTTTCAATTTCAAAAATATTTGGAGGCACAGCCTACTTCTAAAAATTATCGAGATACTGACTTTTTAACGTTTTATCATAAATAATTAAAAATAGATAGCTTTTTTATGTTGAAAAGTGCGAAGAATCAGTTTTTTTATTCGAAAATCAAAAAATTGTACTATGAAATTTTTTTCGGTCATTTTAATACACTACAGGTACAGTAGAGAGCGCCCTCTAGCGGCTACAGTAAAACTATGCCCATGGTTCGTTTTGTCGTACCAAAAAACCTTTGTATACCAATTTTAACTATTATACATCAAATATTGTTCGAAATATTTAAAAAAAACTATTTTAGAAAGTTAATTTAAACACCTTGTATTTCGGAAGCCACGCAATTTTCGACCCATGTTTATATAGACTTTATGCATTAATTTTAAAAGTTCTATCGAATCTTAAAGCTATGCAACAATAAACTGAAACACCCTGTATATCAATATACCACCTGTATGCTTCGAAACACAGCTTATTCTTACAACTTTATAGCCGTGAATATCGATCTCTCCCTCCTCAACTGTTACATGTGTTTCTGTTAAACAAAGTATTAATGGTTACTCTATCACCAAGAAATTTGAAACCTCATCTTTATGTGATAAAAATCCTTGAATGTTTAAGTGGTATATATAGCTTACAACTTGTTTTGTTTGTAATTGCTCTATAGCAAGCTTTGTTTTTTGATTTTTCGTATTTCCTTTGTATTATTCTACATATTTTGTTGAACGGTGAGTGGTTTGTGTCATCTGTATTTCATCTTTTTAATTGCCACTACATTTATCATCGAATCACTGCTTATAATATTGCTTCTTTCTTTCAAGTCTCTAATCATTCTTATGAAGTTTTTTTATTAAAATGAACCAAATAGAATCAACTCTTGTCTCTTGGAATGGTACAGTTGAATTCCTTTGACAGCATGCAAAATGGCAGATAATATAAATTTCCTAAAGCTTATAATACCACAAGATTTAGTAACATTGCAGTACTTATGTTATTCAGGAAAAGCCATACGTAATGGTAAAAGAAGAAAGCAATTTGACTGGAAACGCTCGATTTGAAGGCTTCTGTATAGACCTCTTGAAATGGATAGCTACACAAGTTGGGTTCCAATACACCATCAAACTAGTGCCTGACCATATGTATGGTGTTTATGATCCTGAAACGAAAGAGTGGAATGGCATTGTTAGAGAACTGATGGAAAAGGTATAAATACTTCTATAATAGCTTAGATATAAAGGGTGGGCCATCAGTTTTTTTTTAAGTTGGTATTTCTTTGACAGTTGGTAACACTTTCTCAACATATTAACTTCTTCTGTGAGCAATGGATCGCTTTAATCTTGAACAAAGGTGGGAAATATTGAAAAACTACTTTCAAAGTGAGTGCTGTATTGCAGAAACTTTGCGAAAATTGAGAAGACTGGCCTGCTTGTGGATAACAGACGGTATGAGCGTGTTTCTGGGAGGTTACGTTAACAAGCAGAACTGTAGGATTTGGGGTTCTGAAAATACACATATCGTCATAGAAAAATCAATGCATCCAAAAAGAGTAACTGTTTGGTGTGGCTTTTGGAGTGGTGCGATTATTGGTTCCTACTTTTTTCAAGATCAAGATGGTAAGAGCGTGACGGTAAACGGGGAACGCTCTAGAGACATGTTGAGTAGTTGTTTGTCACTACTATTAGACAACGTGCACTTGCACAATCTCTGGTTCCATGAGGATGGCGCAACGTGCCACACCAGCCGTGAAACAATCGATCTTTTACAGACTAAGTTCAGTCATCGCGGTTTTGGAGAAGTTCATTGACCAGCCCGCAGCTGTGATTTGACGCCCATGGATTACTTCCTACGGGGTTAAGGACCGCTGTTACACTAACGATCCTCAAAAAATTGATGTTCTTAAAGAAAATATCCGTCGAGCTATTGATGAAATAGACCTACAAACTATCCAAAATTTGCTTCAGAATTGGGTTAAGAGGATGGACTACTGCCAGGCCAGCCGCGGCAGCCATTTAACTGAAATTGTTTTTCATAAATAACACTGATCAACAGCCAAAAAATATCCTAAATAAAATCAACAAAATATTACTATTTTTGATGTGCTAAAACCGGAATGAAACTTATTTTTTCAATATTAGTTCAAGTTTTAGAGATACGGTTAATTATATGTGTCCCTGCTGTGACAGTGTTAATATACTGTAATTCACAAGAATGCACGTGCTACATTTTTATATTCGGCAAGGAAAGATGATGTAATCGGCATGATTGTGTTACGTTATACATACGTGTACATTATATTGTTTTATATTAGCCATTTTTTCCTCAGTTGGCTGACAGCGTTCATGTAAGATGTCTCGAAAGTGTGTAAACAATCCAGATCAGTTTTGTTACGTGTGTGGTGATGTGACTTTTGCTTTTCAGAGACGGTCTATTACTCCACTAATAACAAAGGCATATCAGCTTTATTTCGGTTGTAAACTAGGTGATCAAGACAAACAGTGGGCACCCCACATCTGCTGTAATACATGTGCTTCAAGTCTGAGGAGCTGGTTAAATGGCAAAAAACGGTCTATGCGCTTTGCTGTCCCAATGGTTTGGAGAGAGCCTACAAATCATATTAATGATTGTTAGTTTTGCATGGTACCTTGTGTTGGACAAGCCACAGGTATGTCCAAGAAAAAAAATTGGTTATTAACTACCCAAACATACCATCTGCGATGAGACCTGTGCCTCACAGTGACGAAAATCCTATTCCAAAACCCCCAGAATCCTACACTTGCGAATCAGAGAACGAATCAGATCATGGCGATCGAGTGATTCGTCAGGAAGAAGATATGCCATCAACGTCAAGAGATCCTTATTTTATACCGAACACATGCCACCAACCGCACAAAATAACACAGTCAGAATTAAATGATCTTGTAAGAGATTTAGAACTTCCAAAATGTAAGGCAGAGTTACTTGGATCAAGACTGCAGCAGTGGAACTTTTTAGAAGACGATGTTTCGGTATGTGTTTTTCGTAAACGCCACAAAGACTTAGAACCATTTTTCAATATGGAGAATAACTTAGTTTTCTGCAATAACATTAACGGCTTACTGGCGGCTTTAAATATAAACTATAACCCAGAAGAATGGAGATTGTTTATAGACAGTTCAACATTGAGTTTAAAGGCAGTGTTATTGCATATTGGAAATATTTTACCATCTCTTCCTGTAGGGTATGCAGTTCACATGAAAGAATCATATGACAATATGAAGTACCTATTGACATGCATAAAATACGATGAGCACCAATGGCATATTTGTGGCGATTTGAAAGTTGTTGCACTTCTACTTGGGCTGCAGTTAGGCTACACAAAGTTTTGCGGGCAAAGGCACTTCATTACACCAGACAAAACTGGCCTGTTCGTCCATTTCTAGAGCCAGGTCAAAAAAATGTAAAGCATATGCCAAAGGGTAGATTCGAAAAAAATTTTATTACCACCACTGCATATCAAGTTGGGCCTAATGAAAAACTTTGTCAAGGCATTAGATAGAGATGGGTCAGCTTCACAATAGTCAGAAATTTCCAAGACTAAGTGAGGCAAAGGTTAAAGAAGGTATTTTTGCTGGGCCACAGATTCGAAATATTTTGAAAGATACACAGTTTGAAAACACTTTAACAGGTATTGAAAAAACTGCTTGGAATGATTTCCGTCTGGTGGTCACTAATTTCTTGGGAAATAGAAAAGCTGACAACTATAAAATCCTTGTCAAAAATATGCCGTCATCGTATCAAAAGATAGGCTGTAATATGTCTCTTAAGATACATTTCCTACACTCACACCTGGACTTTTTTCCTGACAATTGCGGAGCCGTAAGTGATGAGCACGGCGAACGTTTTCATTAGGATATTTCAACAATAGAAAAAGGTACCAGGGAAAGTGGAATCCTTCCATGCTTGCAGACTACTGTTGGACTCTTGGTGATGCTCCAGAAACGATCCATAAAAGAACAGCAAAAAGACAGCGCATATAGTGATTCTTATAAGTATATGAATCTTGTTACTTTTTTAATATATCCTTAAAAATAAAAAGTTTTTTTCTAAACCGCAATTAATTTTTTTATTTCATTGTCATTTTTGGATTCAGCGCCCCAAAATTAACAAAGAAGAGCACTTTTCCCACAAGATACAATTAAAAAACTAAAACTTGTTGTCCAATGAATCGGAAGGTGTATTCTTTTGAATAAAGTATCGAGTGTTACATATTATTGAGGAGTGTAGCTTTAATAGACGGATGGCTCACCCTTTATTATACTGTGTACTAGAAATGATAAATTTCCAATTTCTTAGTGCTCAGTTTCAAGCGTCGTCGGCTTGAGAGTTTTTTTGAAAAAATAGAAGGTTACAATTTCCCGAATGCACCAGATATTGCTGTCGTGCTCTAGGGATGTCAGACGGACCCGTTTGTTGTGAGATCTTTAACGAGAGTAGTTGGCATACCGGTGTTTAAATACAAATTCGAATTCTTTATTCATTCTATCGATATCAAAGAGATGTAGAACAACTCCTATTTACGTATATATGAGGAAAAGACAAACAACGAAAAAAGAGAACCAAAAACAAAAACTGAACTGGTAATGAATAAAGACATACTTGTGACTCTACTGGTATATTTTCGGGACAATACTCAGACACGTCAGTTTTGATTTCTAGGGAGACGTCTTTTCATCTATAGTCGTACAATATAGGGTGATCCAAAAATAAGATATTGCGTTACAGTTTTGATTTTTAACTTTTGTATAATAAAGCTCATACCTATAGTCGTTGTAAAGCTATGTGAGCTTAAAATAAAATTCGACTAGCTTCATACTGATAACAATGACAAAAAATAATAATCATGGATACCAGCAAGAACATTATGAGGAGCAAACTTGCAAAATGCATTTTGTCCAAATTTTCCATATTTGCTGCATTCCTATGATAAAATACTAACTCTTTATGAATATTTGAACAGTCGAAATGCATTTAGTCCCCGTGTTATTAAGGGGAAATAATACCTAGACAAACAAACTGATTTAAGTCCACTCACATTGTACTTTCAAAGTGCATTTGTCCATAAACATTGACAAAATGCATTTTGATGAGGTTTTCGTTCATTTCATCAGAACCCGTTATAGTTCGGTGTTGCCTTACAGACTTTTTCAAGTTTTAATTGTTAAAAATCAAAGTAGTGCTGTTTTTGAATTAAAATGGAAGAGTTAGAAGAGGAGCATATTGTTGGTGATAGTGTCGATAGGGGTAGTAGGAAAAGAAAATGGATAACAGCAAGCCGTAAGAGAAAAGACAAATCAGGTATTTGTTATGTTATAAGCTTAAAATATACTAAGTGACATATAAATCCGAACACCCAGTTTAAATGGTTTTATTTTAATAAAAGTTGGTGAATGTATTTATCTTACTGTAAATAACAAGTGAAAAAATGTTGAGCCTTATCAGTTGGACATTCCGGTTTTTATACTGCTTTTTTTTAATTCACTAACGCTCTAAAAATGAATATTTCAGCAGCAGTAAAGAATCAACGTTGGCGGATTTTGGTTCTTGACATCCTTTACAATCGGTTACGATGCCTAGAGTACGGAGACCTGTACGATTTCGTCAACTTAGTGAGTTTGATAGGGGCCGTATAGTGGGGCTTCGGGAAGCTGGACTTTCTTTTCGGGCAATTGCAGTTAGAGTGCAAAGAAGTGTAGACACTGTGGTTAGGTGTTGTCAGACATGGCTTCGAGAAGGTCGTACGCAAAGAACAAGGGGCACTGGACGCCGCCGCAGAACAACAGACCGTGAAGATCACCGCCTAAGATTATTGGCCTTAAAGGACCGTTTCTCCACTACCAGGTCCATTGCAAATGAATGGTTTGCAGAACACGGAAGACCTATTGGCATGCGAAGTGTTTACCGACGAATGAGAAGTTTTGGCTTGTTTTCATACCGGCCACACTGGGTCCTCCCTTTAACTCGAGAACACCGACGTAATCGCCTTGAGTGGTGCAGACAACGGTCACTCTGGGATCAGGAATGGAACAGTATTGTCTTCAGTGATGAGTCTCGATTTTTTTTAGGCATGCATGATGGTCGTGCCAAGGTTAGAAGGCGACGTGGTGAAAGGAGGAATCCACAGTTTTTTGTTGAAGGACATGTTCATCACACTGTTGGAGTTATGGTTTGGGGTGCTATAGCTTATGGTTCCAGGTCACCTTTAATCTTCATCAGAGGTAACATGAACGCGCAGCGTTATATCCACGAAGTTCTAGAACCCCATATTTTACCCTATCTTGACACCCTGGCAGATCCAACTTTCCAACAAGATAATGCCCGACCACATGTTGCAAGAGTCACAATAGACTTCTTTCAACATAATGATGTCACATTGTTACCATGGCCACCAAGATCTCCCGACTTATCCCCAATTGAGCACGTGTGGGATATGATGGGTAGGAGATTGCTCAATTTGCAACGTCCTCCTCAGACTCTAGAAGCACTTCGAGAGGAGTTGGTGGTTGCCTGGAATGAGATACCACAGGAGGACATTGACCACCTGATCAGAAGCATGCCTAGGCGCGTTGGAGAATGCGTAGCACATCAGTGTGCATCCACACATTATTAAAGGTCAAAGGGCTTTAAAGCAGTGCAATCATTTTGAAATTTTTATCATTTACTTATTATGCTTCATTAAGTACTTATACAAAATTTTATTAAAATAAAACCATTTAAACTGGGTGTTCGGATTTATATGTCACTTAGTATATATTACTCAATAAACTATTAGTGATGGCCGTTTTGGGATGAACAATTAGGAATTCTCGAAAATTACTTGACCAATCTACTCCAATTTTGTTGTGGTTATTTATAAGTACGAATCCCAGGAATTTTGGATAATTTCAAATATCTGCGAGAAACCATCGTCGCATTACCAACAAGTGCCAAAACCCTCAGTTTGCGACATTTTTCGGCCTTAACTTCTTTGCTATTAGTCGGATCTTTTTACGTGTGGTCTCATTTTGTAGGTCTCATAAATACCTAAAAATCTTATATGAACACTTTCGATTGAATCCCCTTTGTTGTCGCATAAAAAGTTTTTCGGTATTTTCGTCTAATATGATTAGACTATTATGACCAATCGACCGATGCTACTATCTGTTTTTTATTCGCAGTGATGTATTTAACGTTTACATCATCTTCCAGATTAATGCATTTTTATTGGCTCTGAACGTACATGTTAACTCGATTATAAATACTGCGTGTATGTCTCTATTACGTTAAACCGATAACGATCGTCCTATTATAATCAAGTCTACCTTTCGAACTGGACCACGGCAGTATAATAAGATGACTAACTAACTCCTTTATTGGATTTCTTGTCGACGTTGCAGCGCGCGGACCTCGCAGTCGCTTCCATGACCATTAATTATGCCAGGGAGAGCGTTATTGACTTCACGAAGCCATTCATGAACCTAGGCATCGGGATTCTCTTCAAGGTAAGCTCCTTTACTCGGCGAACTGTTTTACATACCTGTACAGGGCGTTCACGATAACAATGGGATAACATCAAGATCTCGACAAAGGTTTTAGTTACGCAGATGGATCGTTTGTGTTATTGATTGTTTGTTTAAGATTTACTTAGCATAATTGCTACAATTACATTCTTCTAAAAAACTAAACAATTACATAACATACAGACAATCAGAAAAAAAACAAAATTTGCATCGCTAAGAATTTTCATTGTCCATGAAATATTCCTTTAATTTCCTTTTAAATATCTTTAAATTACAAGTAGACTTTAGATCATTATTTAGTTTTTTAAATTCAAGCAATCCTTTCTGAAATATTGATTTGATATTTATATTACTATTGTAATTTTGTAAATGAAAATCTATATTTCCTCTTGTATAATAATTGTGGTAATGATTATTCAATTCGATGTAGTGTTCTGGCAAAAGATGATTTTTTATTTTAAATATAAAAATAAGAACCAAATTTTTTATATTCAACCACTGCAGTTCTTGTAACATAGATTTTATTTTGGTGCACTTATTTTTATTCAAGATTATTCTCATAGCTTTATTTTGCAAGACTTAATTTTGAGAATACAGCTTCATTGAACAAGATAGTTGAACAATATAGTAAATGCGGTAGAATAATTGTATTATAAACTATTTTCTTGGAATTGGTACCAAGGCTATGAGACGCCCTTTAAAAGTACTTTGTTTTTTTTTGGCAATTTTTTAAATAATGTATTCATAGTGATCCTCAAACTTTAGTTTACTATCAATATATGTACCTAAATATTTAATAGATTCAACATTTTCAATTATCTCTCCATTTATCCTAACTGTGATAGTATTTTCATTTAGGTATTTCCCTATTAGCATACATTTTGTTTTAGAAGTATTCAGTTTTAGTTTATTTACATTTAACCAATTTACGATTTTTGCCAAGTCAGAATTTAGCATTTTTAAAGAAGTGTCTATATTTTCATCCGATATGTATACTAATGTATCATCTGCAAATATCGGAAGTTTACAATGATCTAAAATATTACAAATGTCATTAATGTATAAAATAAACAGTGGTGGACCTAGTTTACTACCTTGTGGTATACCAACAGAAATATTTTTTGATCTTGATAATGTAAATCCAATTTTGGTTTTTTGACTTCTGTCAATTAAATAGTTTTGTAGAATTTTGAATACAGATCCTTTAAATCCGTAGTGCTGCAATTTTGTAAGTAATTTATCCCTGTCAATAGTCTCAAACGCCCTTTTGAAATCCAAAAACACTGTAACTGTATGTTTCCAATTGTTCATACATCACCTCCAGTCCTCTAAAACCATTTGTGTTGCCGTTTCAGTTGAGTGTTTCTTCCTGAATGCAGCTTGAAATTTGGTTAAAATGTTATTTCCCTCAATAATTCCGATGATCTGTTCGTAAATAATTTGTTCAAATACTTTTTCAACATTTGAAAGAACATTTATTGGCCGCATATTGGTGTACAACTCAGAATTCTTAACTTTAGAAACAGAAGTTATGGTAGAACACTTCAATTTTGTTGTAAATTCGCCATATTTTAAACAGTAATTTATCAGGGTTAATATTCTTGCTCCAATAATATCAAAACATTCATTAAGCACACTTTTAGACAAAATCTCACTCTTATTTTGATTTGATTTAATTTCTGATATAATCTTCTTGGGACGATTAATGTTTATTGTTCTAAACTCACTGAATGATGCATTATAATCTAGCTAATGGGACATTGGTTGGGATCCCCGCCAATAATTGATTTTACAATGTCGTTGGCACTTTCTTAGAAATAGGTATTCATTCGATCTGCTATTATTTCTTCATTTGTTATTACCCTATCGTCGAATTTCATTTTAGATAATGTATTTTTTCTAATAGAAACAATGTTTTTTAACGTTTTCCACATATGTTTGCTATTATTTTTACTCTGATCAATTTTAGCATTGTAATGTTTTTTCTTTTCATCTCGTAGAACTGCTACAGAGTGGTTTCTTGATCTTGTGTATTCTAGCCAATCATTTTCACTTTAATTTAAAAAATATATTTTGTATTTTCTATAAGAAACATTGAAAACACTCTCGGCGATGTTGTAACGTGATACAAATTGTAAACAAAGAAACGTCGTCCGTATATCACTCTTGGATTAAAGTTATCTTATTCTTTAAATGTTTCTAAAATTAATTAGTATGTGATTAGAATTGTTTCCAAGGCTAACCTGGCCATAGATGGGTTTCAATTGAACAAGCCTCGTACATTTTCAAAACAGAAAACACTATTGTGAACCACTTCTAAAATAAAGTTGATGAATAATGGACTTGCAGACTTTATTCGCTGATGTGAACCTTATTGTGAAGAACTGATCAGAAAGGCATTTCTTGTGAAAGATGCATATACAAGGGTCGTAATTTATAAGATATAGCTTACATAAAAGCTGTATAAAACATTTTTTGCAGAAATTCTACACAATTATTTTTTCTGTGTATAACACTTCTAATATCACTGAGTATAGGAATTTTCTATCCATTTCCTGATTCATCCCATCCTGTAAAGCTTTGTGTGTTGCTTACTATACTACTACTTACTTGAAATCACAGTTCTGAGATCCCTGTCGAACCCGAATAACGCTAAAAAGTAGTTTGAGTTTGTTGATCATCCATCATGCCATCCAACAAGACCCTAGAAATCGCTTGTTTCCAGGTACCTACAAGCCAACCAACCCGGCTGTTCAGCTTCCTCAATCCATTGGCAGTAGAAATCTGGCTGTACGTGCTAGCTTCATACGTGCTAGTGTCCTTCACCCTATTCGTGATGGCCCGTTTCAGTCCGTACGAGTGGCATAGTGCGCCTCAACGTGGCTGTGGCACTCAGATCATGCTCGAGAATCAGTTCACGGTCTCGAACAGCTTTTGGTTCATCACCGGGACCTTTCTTAGGCAAGGATCGGGACTGAATCCAAAGGTTGGTTTAAACGCATTAGAGATAAGCTAGAGCATTGTTTTTTACTCAACATTTATTTGGCCTTTTAAAAAACTAGAACAATTACATAGCATATGTACATATACGAGCCCCTTCCCACTTCAGTTGGCCCACTTCAAGATTTGTATGCCTTAATAAACTAAACATGACGAAACTATTTACTTCTAAAACAATTTATTTTCTCAAAAACATTTTAGATACACTCTAGTCGTAAAAAATACATATCTGAAATCTCTTAGACCTATAACTAATAGAACATCTGATCAAAACAACAATTGACAGATTATCATTGGGTAACATCACCTTTATTTTTTATGACGGCTGAAATTCTTTGGGGCATAGTGTTAACTAAGTTTTGGCAAAAATTTGGTGTAAAGCAATCCCATATTTCTTGAAGCTTTTGTCTCAGTTTGGTGATTGTACGAGCAGGATGTTGTCGTAGAACCTTTTTCATCTGGTGCCACAAAGTTTCAATAGGTGACAGATCTAGTCTGCTAGAAACCCATTTCAAAAGTGGTACATTATTTTCTTCCATCCATTTTATAGCCTTTTTTGAGGTATGGCAAGCTGCACCATCTTGCTAAAACACAAAATCTTGGCCGGATGTCAAACATTCTTCCATGACTGGTAAAAGCGATTCTTCTAAAATTGCCAAATATTTGTTTGTATCCACATTTCCATCAATAAATTTAAGTTTTCCTACTTCTTTTGATGACATACTGCCCCATTATGGATGCTGGAAATTTAACTTTTCTCTTCAGACAGTCAACATGGAATGCTTAATTTTTTTGCGAATAACTCTACTGCGACTGTCACCAACACAAACTTCGAATCGGGCCTCATCACTCCATTGTATTGCACACCATTGTTGAGGTGTCCATTGTCTATGTTCTTCAGCCCATCTAAGCCGATTTTTCTTTTGCAGTGGAGTTAATAGTGGCTTTTCTTTGGCCTATAAACAAGTTGTGCAACTTTAAGGTTTTTACTTCACTTTTTTTTATAAGAAAACTTACCTTGCAAGTGCTAAATCCCAGTTTGTGGGCCTCTATATGAGTTGTGGACCTCGAAATTCTCCTTCCAACAGCGTCACTCCACAGAGCACTTAATTGTAAATAATTGGCACGTCTGTTTTTCACGATTATTCTTCTTAATGCTCTTCGGTCGGCATTTGTGATATTACTTTTTTTCACATATCGTGGCTTAATATTAATTGAACCAGTTACGTTTTATCTTCTAACAATATTTCTCACACTGTACCGCGATAAGTCTAACAAAGTTGCAATTTCTGAGTTTGATTTCCCAGAATTAAAAAATTTAATTATCAGTAGCCGAATTTTCTCGCTAATAACCTTTCCTCTACCTATTTTGAAAACCTTAACTACCCAAAACTATTTTAAACCTATTCTGACAGCTGTGATTAATAAGAACAATTGTCATGGCTTTTATTTTTCACAGCCATCTATGCGTTATAGACTTAATTTGCATTGAAATGAAAATAGGTTGATATGCTGTAATTGCAACATGTGTTATTTTTATGCTGCAAATTTGATTAGGGAGTGATATATACTAAGTGACATATAAATCCGAACACCCAGTTTAAATGGTTTTATTTTAATAAAAGTTGGTGAATGTATTTATCTTACTGTAAATAACAAGTGAAAAAATTTTCAGCCTTATCAGTTGGACATTCCCGTTTTTATACTGCTTTTTTTTAATTCACTGACGCTCTAAAAATGAATATTTCAGCCGCAGTAAAGATTCAACGTTGGCGGATTTTGGTTCTTGACTTCCTTTACGATCGGTTACGATGCCTAGAGTACGGAGACCTGTACGATTTCGTCAACTTAGTGAGTTTGATAGGGGCCGTATAGTGGGACTTCGGGAAGCTGGACTTTCTTTTCGGGCAATTGCAGTTAGAGTGCAAAGAAGTGTAGACACTGTGGCTAGGTGTTGTCAGGCATGGCTTCGAGAAGGCCGTACGCAAAGAGCAAGGGGCACTGGACGCCGCCGTAGAACAACAGACCGTGAAGATCGCCGCCTAAGATTATTGGCCTTAAGGGACCGTTTCTCCACTACCAGGTCCATTGCAAATGAATGGTTTGCAGAACACGGAAGACATATTGGCATGCGAAGTGTTTACCGAGGAATGAGAAGTTTTGGCTTGTTTTCATACCGGCCACACTGGGTCCTCCCTTTAACTCGAGAACACCGACTTAATCGCCTAGAGTGGTGCAGACAACGGTCACTATGGGATCAGGAATGGAACAGTATTGTCTTTAGTGACGAGTCTCGATTTTGTTTAGGCATGCACGATGGTCGTGCCAGGGTTAGAAGGCGACGTGGTGAAAGGAGGAATCCACAGTTTTTTGTTGAAAGACATGTTCATCACACTGTTGGAGTTATGGTTTGGGGTGCTATAGCTTATGGTTCAAGGTCACCTTTAATTTTCATCAGAGGTAACATGAACGCGCAGCGTTATATCCACGAAGTTCTAGAACCCCATCTTTTACCCTATCTTCACACCCTGGCAGATCCAACTTTCCAACAAGATAATGCCTGACCACATGTTGCAAGAGTCACAATAGACTTCTTTCAACATAATGATGTCACATTGTTACCATGGCCACCAAGATCTCCCGACTTATCCCCAATTGAGCACGTGTGGGATATGATGGGTAGGAGATTGCTCAATTTGCAACGTCCTCCTCAGACTCTAGAAGCACTTCGAGAGGAGTTGGTGGTTGCCTGGAATGAGATACCACAGGAGGACATTGACCACCTGATCAGAAGCATGCCTAGGCTCGTTGGAGAATGCGTAGCACATCAGGGTGCATCCACACATTATTAAAGGTCAAAGGGCTTTAAAGGAGTGCATCATTTTGAAATTTTTATCATTTACTTATTATGCTTCATTAAGTACTTATATATATATATATATATATATATATAAAAATAAAACCATTTAAACTGGGTGTTCGGATTTATATGTCACTTAGTATAGTTGGTGTTTGCCACTATATATTATCAAAATATTCATTGTTAATATTTTAAACCTATTACACCCTGCTACATTTTTATTATTTGTGTTTGATAAGAAAAGAACTAAGATTTCAATAGTTGGGCCAACTGAAGTGGGAAGGGGCTCGTAAGGTGGTGGACAGTTGCTTTGCAACCTGGAAAATTTCACCCAAATTCAAATCTGAATATTTTTGGAATGGAAAGAGATATCAAGGTGCGTTATTCGGAAGGTTCTTGACCAACACATTGAGAATACATACAGGGTTTGACCGTTATATTTCTCTCATTTATCGACTTATGCAGGGTGGGCAAAGGAAAATTGGTTGTAGCTAAAATTATCGAATTTTTAACTTCCTGCAATAAATTTCTTTCGGCTCGACCTAACGTATTTTTTTTATTACCCTCTCCATGCAAATATGACGTTTCTAAGGTTTCATCATGGCTCCACAAGAGGCGTTTGGTGGAGGTGGTATTACTGTTTGGGCTGGGGCTATGCACAATGGTAAAATCGAACTTTTTATTTCAAATAGGACAGTCAGTGCTGCAGTGTATAGGGACAACCTTTTAAACAATATTCTTGTACCTTTTGCACAAAATTTTGTGGAGGATTTTGTTACATAATGTGCACGCCACTGGAGGCAATAACGTTGAATGAGTGCTTCAATCTTCTCTCGGGCGTAAGAAATTCCACTTTATGCATGAGAAACTCCAAACAAGTCGCTTTTTAGGGATAAATGTAACACTTTTTGAAAATTCGATAATTCGAGTTATAGCCGACTTTAGAAAAACTTCGGAAATGTCTTTTTTTAAGATAGTCCAAACATCAAAAATAAATATATCGGTCGAACCTTGTACGTGATCTCAATGACTTGGTCAAGAACCTCCTGAATATCGCACCGCGATATCACTTTCCCTTCCAAAAATATTGAGATTTGAATTTGGGTAGAATTTTTATGTTGCAAAGCAACTATCCACCAGTTTATTTAGAAAAACAAAACTTGCCTCTTTAAGAATTTCCACTGTCCATGAATGCACCTTAAATTTTCTTTTAAACATATTTAAATAACAAGTAGTCTTTATATCATTAGTTAGTTTATTTAATTCAAGTTATATTGATTTGCTAATTATGTTACTATTGCAATTTTGTAAATCTTATAATTGTGATAATGATTATTCAATTCTATGTAATCTTCTGAATGTTGTAGCAAAAGACGATTTCTTATTTTAAATATGAAAATGCGAAACAAATATCTTACACGAATTTTTTTGTAATCAACCATTGCAATTCTTGTAACATTTTTTGGTGTACTTATTTATATTCTGTTGGAACGCGTACTAGCGTCACCCCGCCGCGCCGCTACTGGCGAGACGACCAGACAGGTTGCCTAACCTAGAAGCTTGTAACCGCCGTCCTGTCCCCGCGCGCCGCACCACGGAATGCAGTCAGTCGTGAAGAGTCAGTCGTGGGGAGCAGTCGAAGTACAACAGCAGCCAGCACACGCGCGCGGATCGCGGAACGCGGAAGCCCGGTCTACACCTGTAGCTTATCTACCCATTCATGTACTGAATAAACTGTTCTGAACCGAAGACCACTGCGAGTTGAATTGCTCTGCTTACCTATCCTCAACAGGTTACGTGCCCAGAGACAGTGCTACGGACATTGAACAATTATTGCAAGTGCTGAAGATAATATAGGAAGTGTGTGACTAGTATCCTGTATAGACTCGCTTAGCAGGGATAACTACGACACGTGGAAAATACAGATGAGGGCATTGCTGGTAAGAAACGATCACTGGAGTTATGTATCTGGCGAGATAAAGCAGCCACGGATAGATGATGGGGACGAGGCATCCACGAGAGCTGTAGAAGCCTGGACTAAAGGTGACAGCAAGGCGATGTCGGACATAATTTTGTCAATAAGCCCCTCAGAAATCAAACAGGTAAAGAACTGTAATACATCCAAG